TGTTTATGACCATTGTTGTAGTATATGGATACACTTTATAGTTTTTAATAATTAAAATACTTTTAGAGGGATAAAATACTTTGAGTACAAGAGACTTTAAAAGATTTAAGCCAAATAAGGAGGAGTTGAATGTATTTTAAGAATATATTTAAAAATAATAATTTGCTAAAAGACATTATCCCATTAAAGCCAGTGTATAATTTTGTTTACTTATACTGTAAGCACAATGGAGCAAAAGTAAATTTTACTAGAGGATTTTGAATAAGGAGTTAACATCTGCCACTCATGTTTTTGAAACAGTTGCTGAGAAAATATTGTTGCATCTATTGAGTAAAGTTCTTTTCCTTTGCTTTTGACAGAGTTCAAAAGTTTCACTCTATCAGATTTTCAAGGCTAATTTATTTTCTAAAGGCATAACATTAATGAATGAATGGGCTTTGAAATAGTTTCTTAAAAAATGATTTTTTAGTTTATAAAAAAGCTGACTCTTTATCTTTTTATATGAAAGCAGCGTTATTACAAAGTCGTTTCACAAAGTATTTCAGATTATATATATACAGTCAAAAGTCGTTAATCCGGACTCGTCGGGACTTCGGCGATTCCGGATTATCTATTTTTCCGGATTATCTATTTTTCCGGATTATATATAGATCATCAGTTTAAATCTGGTAAGATGGCATGCAGAAATTATAAAATTAAAAATATGAAACCGTAATTTATGAAATAAAGAGCAATTATGATCTAAAGGGTATCAAAATTTACCAAAAAAAAAAAAAAAAAAGCTTAATATTTATTTGTTTACTTTATTAAACATTTCTTTCAATGTAAGTTGTTTAAGTTGCTTCGTTTTATGTGATAATATTTTCTCTTTAATTCTATAAACAGACATAATTTCTTCTTCAGTTACAAAGTTCTGCTGTTCAAGTCCTATAATTGCTGTGTCGAGAATACCGACTAATTTGTCAAACGAAATTTTTTCGTTTTCAATAACCTCTTCACTATCGGAAGCGAATTATAATGACGAGGAATTTGATTTAAATCATATCAAAGACGGAGTACATTGAGATGAAATACTACATTTATTAAGGAATTATAAGCCAAATAAAATAAAAACATCTGCCTTGAAGATAAGGATAGTGCTGACAGATCAACTTCCAATTCATTGCGTACCGCATCGTCACCCCCTTGCCGCAGAGCAGCCTGAAATTGATAAACAGGTTTCGGAATGGTTAGAGAAAATAAGGATATGCTTTTATCCATTTTTTGCAGCAATTCCACTTTTTGTTTAATGGACTTTGAAACATACTTTCGCTTTTGTAAATCCTTTACATATTAGTAAATATATGTCGGAAATTCTATTTGACATAATCGAAAGTTCAAGCTTACTTTTATAAAATTGCTCTAACAGTCTGCAAAAAATAATAAGCCGGATCCAATTCGAAGATTAAGGAACAACGCAATCTGCAACATTATCTGAATTAGATAATTTTAGCTTTGCTTATACCGTCCGTTATACATTAAACGCGCATGCGTAAACGTATTATGCGCATACGCATATTCGCAGCCTTAAAGGTCTTACGCGCATGCGTGAACGGGACGCATGCGCAGAAAATTTGTAGCTTCGAGGTCCGGATTATGGGTGTCCGAATTAACGACTTTTGACTGTATTGCCTCGGAGATCAGTGATGAAAATATTCATAACCATTTGAAATTTATCTCTAAGTCAATCATTAAGTTTTAAAAAATCCAAAAATATCAGACAGCGAGAGGTTAAACTTATTCCCTAAACTACCTTGGCAGTGTAGTAATGTATTTACACAAACCAAATGAATTAAAAGCGAGTATATAGCATATGACTTAACACTGTTAAATGAAAAAATTACTGTGTTATGCTTTTGAACCATAAAATTTTATGAACTAAATACACACTAAGTGAAGCCGACAATTGAAGCACATAGAGAAAACTCAAGATTGAAATTCAACAACATGACCAAAACTGAGCCAAAAGAATCTAGAGGAAACTTCAGAAGCAGAAGGGAAAGACAAAGTTAACATGAAGAAGAAATAAAGTTTGGACTAGCCAAAAAATTTTCGAAACACGAACAGGACTAGGAAGAAAAGAACTAAAACTATAATAACCTAAGAAAAACGTGTGTAAAACAATACTGTCAAAGCATTTAATCAGTTCAGAAATGTAATATTTCCAAAAGGTCCCATCTATATTAGGTTCATGCTCACGGTGGAATACAGGGAAACGAAACTTGCAATAACCGGAATTTACTGTAATGGGTTCATTTGATAAACATGTTTTTGGGAATAACATTAGATTTTGTGCAGTGTTTTCTGGAGGTGAAGATATCAGAATTATTTTTGATGTAAAAGCATCTGGTCCTGCTAGGAGCTCTACATATTGACAGAGGATTATAGTTTATTTATTAGAATATGGCAAAGCACACAAGGGATTTCTTCTTAGAGGACTTTTTAAGGGAAATTCGCTCATATCAGCGCTGGCCCTAGCATTTTTTCCACCATAGGCAAACCTCAAAAGTGCCACCCACAGAGTTTCAAAAACTTTAAAATGGAAGGGTGGGGGGAGAGAATTTATTTAAAAAAATAAAAGGCAACTAGGAAAGTACAATCTAATCTAATTGTATTAAAACAACAACACTCATGTAATATTTACAAATTTTCTTTTATTAAAAGCACACAAACTTTTGGAACCAAAACTAGTACAAAACTTTGAAAACAACAGAAAACAAGGAATAGTAGTGTACTATACAAAGTTAAAACCTAAATTAAAATAATCACTTTCGGAACCTTTTTTTTTTTTTTTTTTTTTTCCCAACACATAAATAACTTTTTTCAGATTTAATAAGAATAATATTTCTGAAAGGCAATTTGGTTTCAGAAAGGGAAAGTCAACCGAACCCCTTTTTATAGAGTCATATTTGGCATTAGAGAGAAAAGAAAGACTAAGCATGGTTTCAATTGACGCCAGGGGTGCTTTCGACAATGTAAGGTGGCTCTCTCTGATGCAACTCTTGAAGAATATTGTTGCGTTTTTCTTTTCTGACACCAGTTGTTAAGTTACTTTCTTCCTTCACGTTCATACGAGGTTCATGTGGATTTGGAGTGAATAGCGATGACACCTGATGAAGTATCGAAAAACTTTACTTTATTGGCCTGTATTAATCAGGACAGGCTCCAAAACACTTTTACAGTCGTCGAAGATGTACTATACACTCGCTGGAACAATCAGCGACACAACCATCAGGCTTCACTGCAAAGCATCAGAGTACAGCTCCAGACTCTGTTCGGTCGTTCTTGGAACTCCACGTACTCTCGAGACTCTCCTTGCTACAAAACTCGCGATGTACTCGATGACACACAGAGCACAGCTCTCAACTCTTCGGTTCAGTCGTTCCCGGAGCTTAACACTCTCTCGACGATGCACTAACCGTGATATACTAAGAGACTCTTTGATGCACTTGACGACCAACTTGGCGCTAGACTTCGAGACACTGGCTCAATGACTGACTATCAGCTCGCTAGATGAGGCACCACTGGATACTAACTAACTCTCTGCATACCAGCAGAGTTTATGTAGCTTTTGGCTGGTGTTCGAGAACATTCTGGACTAAATCGGTAAGAATTCGTTCCAGAAGGTTCTCCATCCGTCCATGGCATATCGCCAAATGTGGCAACCCTGCCGTCCCTTGCCATTTTATGGCAACCCTAAAACTGCTTTGCGGGGAAGCTATCTTACCACACCTGTACATTTCATAACACTGCCCCCTACCAAGGACTGCGCGTCCCGGGCAGTACAGTAGAATTCCAGAAATCTGCCAAGCTTGGGACCAAAGGTTGTGCGATTTTAGGATTTTGCGGATTTCAGAACAGAAAAGATAAATCATAATATTCAGACTAAAAGTGCAAAATAAATCAGACATATTAGATGCAGTTAATTAAATTATTATACACTATTACAATAATTTATTATGTACATTAATTATTACATATATAAATTGATTATATTATATGTATTAGTATTCATTTACATTAGTGCTTACAGGAATATTTAAAAGCATTAGGGATGTATTCAATAGACATAAAATAAGGGATATTAATAAAGCATAAAATATTTCATTTTTTTCTGCATGTTTCAAACACTTTTTTGATGGAGGTTTGTTTTAAAACTTTAGGGTGCTACAGAGTAAGTTTTTTTTTTGTAAATTATCTAGAGTCATATGCTCTTGATCTGTGACACAGCTTTGATGCTCTAAAAATTTTAGGTATTTTTCATTAAGTTCCAGACCCTCATTAAAAAATATTTTCTCACTTCTATCAAATTCACTATCTGTGTCGGTGTCAGAACTGTCTTCTAGCTGTGGCGAGTTCAAGACAGACTCAATGATTTCATCATCAGTCATCTGATATGCCAACATTAGCTCATCTGAACACATCATCCATTCAACAATATCTTCTTCTTGCAAAGCCTCCTCATTTATTTTTTTTCTTTTGAAAATAAAAGCAATTCTCTTGCTTTAATCCTTTCTGCACTGACCCTAAAACCAGAAAAATCACTGTCATCACTCTCAGTTTCAATAAACAGAGAAGATGACCATACATTATGCCCGGCATTTACTAATATGTCTTTTGGGAAACAGAATTCTATGATTCAGCTAACAAATAAATGCAGTCTTTGATGGTGAATTTTTTTTTTTTTTTTTTTTTTTTTTATAATCACAAAGTGGAAAGAATTTTTTTCAGAAACTCTGATTTATAGTAGCATTTAATACTGCGTATCATGCCCTGGTTCATTGATTGGATCAATGATGTAGTATTTGGGGGCAAAAAAGGGCCATGACGTTATCACGTGTCAAAATAGTTGCATCTGAATGTGCAGAGCAGTTGTCTAACAATAGTAAAATCTTGCAATTTGATGGTAAACCCACACTGTTACAATGCGTTCTAGCCTCTTGAATGAAATGCTCCATGAATTATTCAGTCATAAGTTGTTTTGTGAACCAGGAATTTTTATTACTCCTGTAAATCACAGGTAAGGATTTTACTCCTTTCAGAGCTCTGAGATTAGTGCTCTTACCCACTAACACTGGTTTACATTTGTAAGTTCCAGCTGCATTGCTGCATACTAAAATGGTAACTCTTTCTTTAGCATCTTTCACTCCTGACGGTGCACTTTCTTCGCTTGTCACATATGTCTTTCTTGGCAGAAATCGCCAAAAAAGTCCAGTTTCGTCCATATTAAAATCCTGTTCTGGGCTAAGATTTTCTTCTGCCACTAACACAGAAAATTCATCAGTAAACTCCTCTGTAGCATCTTTATCTGCTGAAAGTTTTCCCCCACATGCTTTCAGATAAAGTATACCGTGTCTCTGTTTAAATCTGTTCAGCCAACCGCTGCTGAAATTGCACGGCTCCTCTATTTTTAAATCAGCATGAATCTGCTTCGCCTTTTCTCTCAGGAACGGTCCTGAAATTGGTACTTCATCACTCCGCCGCTGCCGGAACCACTCGTAAAAGACAGCATCGAGGTTTGCCGATTTCCCGCCTCATGCAAAGATTTCCGGTTTCGGATTCCGGTGTTCGAATCACTGTTGCTGTAAAATTTAAACAGTTTTTCTTTATTTTTCTGTATATCATACACAGTCCGTGTCGCTATTTCATATGATTCTGCTATAAAGCGAGGAGTAGCACCTGCCTCCATCTTTTGCAGAATTTCCACTTTTTGCATTACCATCAATGCAACGTGCTTACGTTTTTCAGCATTGCAAGCAGTAAAATAATGAGTGCGTTTCTGATCTGTCATTGTATTAAAAAGCGCTGAAATTTAAAATATTAATTTATCCACAAAATATCCGGCTAAAAAAAGGCAGCACTAAACAATCTCGTGAAATAACAAAGTTCAGAAAATACAACAACGTGAATCGTGAACTTAAAAGAAGAGTTGAGTGAATCGTCTGCTTTTTTACCTCAATGCAGATTGCAGGGGAAAAAACACTTTTATCATAATGACAATAGTTTATTATTTCCGTTATGACTCATTATTATTCGGTAATTATGATGTCATTATTCGGTACTTTTTTTTTTTTTTCGATATTTCGTACTCCATGCTGTGGTTCCCGGAACCTATAAACTCAATGTTTACATTTTGAGAAGCAACTCGGATTTCAGGTCGGCGGATTTTCGGTATTTGACTGTACAACCCTTGGTCTAAAGCCAAATTTCATACAAACAAAACGTTATAAAACAAACAAATAACATAACTAAAGAAACAAATATTTACACTATGCACAAGTTATATACACAAATTTAACACATAACAATTTCAAATTATACAAATTAAAAGTTGTGAATGAATTTCAGTCTCAGTCTATTTATTAAGTTACAAATACTTTTCCACTGCAGTTCTCAGATGCATTTCTGTTTTGCATATCACAATCTGAAGATATAGTCCTTTCAGGCTTTTCAATTACAGGAAGATCTGAAACAGTTTTTTCATCACTCTGTAGTTTATTCGCATCGTGTGTACAGTTCTCAGTAATTTTAGCAGTTGGCACATGCTTATTTATCTCGATTTCTTGAAAACCAATTTCGATGTTTGCATTAGATTTATGAACAGAATACAATTCTTTACGAGCAGAAATATTCTGATTAAGAATCAAGTTCTTGTATGCACAACCTTCACTATGAGGAACACACATAGTTTGCGAATTGAGTTGCAATACTGTAGGGCTCTGCTTAAGCTGCACATCAGCTTCTTCAATCTCTGCATCACTTGCACTTTCAGATGGTTCAACACTTACTGCCTGCGACTTCATAACTTCACTATCAGTTTTGACGAACTTAGCTGTCGCATTTTCACTTCCTTTCACTTCAGGCACTTGAGAATCAAAAGCTTCTTTCCCGTCTTTTGTTTCTTAATTTTTTCGTTCTTTTCCTTTAATCCCTTTAGATGTGTCATCCATCATTTCTTGATCTTTCTCAGGCAGTTCATTAGCTACTTCTGTCATTTCCACATCTTCCTTTTTGGCTCCAATTTCTTCTGCAAGCTCCACTTTCACCTGTCGGAGTTGCTCTCGCACCTTTCTTGGCGGACATTTATTTCTTCTCTTCCAGTCCGGCTTTTATTTCTTTCAGTCCGGCTTTGATCTCAGCTCTCATTTCTTCATATGCAGCTTTTATCTCTTCCCGTCCAGCTTTCATCGTATCATATCCGGCCTTTATCTCAGCATATCCTTTTTTTAACTTTTTCAGTTCGGCTTTCATCTTTTCCTGTCCGGCTTTCATCTCAGCCAAGAAGCCCATTAAAGTCTTCGTTTCCTCCGCCTCAGACACTCGATTTTGTACGAATGTTTTCCATCGCCGTGGTGAGTTCTTTATCCAGTGAAGCACAATAAGAGATCTGTCCATAAATGAATCTTAGCTTGAGGAAAATGCACATGGACTGTAGTTAAAAGTCTTGCACGGCTGCCATGAGCTCAAGCCTTGGTAAAGATAATTTTTTCAGGGAAGCCACTCTGCTCTTGGCTATCACTAAACTTGCTCCAGAATATTTTAAGCTACGGAATTTCATGTACACTGCTGCTCCGTAAGCACTTTGAGATTAATCACAAAAACAATGTAGTTCCAGTGTTTCAGGCGTTTCATCAACAACACGAAAATACCACCGAGGTATCTGGATATTAGGTAGATCACATAGTTGCCTATACCATTTGGTCCACTTGTCTTGCAATTCTGGTGGGATAATTTACACCAGAATTGCAATCAATTCCAACAGAATTGCAATTCTCCCAATCAATACCTTTCAGTCATAAATCCTGAAACAGAACTTTTGCTTGAATAACATATGGAGCAAGAACCCAAAAGGATCGAAGATTTTTGAAGCGGCTTTCAAAACACAACGTTTTGTTTGGTCATTTGACTGGATGAAATCAATAACGTCTTGTGCATTAAAACAGAAGATATCCTTAATTGTATCCCATTGAAGTCCAAGAATCTTTGAGGGGGAATCACAGTCAGGCAATTTAAAGCTAACGAAGTTGTCACTTGATTTATACTGGTTTTTTACAGTATCCGAATTAGAATTCCATTTGATCCAAGTCATTGATGCCTTTTTTATTATATCATTGGCTTTATGATATATTTGCAGCTTCCTCCTCCGTATCTGATCCACAAATAAAATCGTCAACATACATGAAGTTTTCTAACATTTCTACAGTTATGGGATAGATGTTTTCAAATTTCTTTAAATGATGCTTAATGCAAGCGCTCAGCAAAAATGGAATTGATTTTGCTCCAAAAATAACACGACCCATCCGATAAACTTGAATTCTCGGATTGCTCAAACTTGAATTCTCATCAATCCACAAAAATCGCATTGAATCCCGATCTTCAGGTGCAATAGAAATTTGCAAAAATGCCTTCTCAATATCTGACGTAAATGCAATTCGATGAAGTCGAAAATTTATTAAAACTTTCAAAAGTTCAGGAAGAAGATTTGGTCCTTGTAGTAAATTATTTAAAGATTCGTGAATTTTTTTCCTTTGAAAAAGCATCATAAACAATGCGAAGTTTTGTAGAATTATGATCTTCACGGATGACAGCACGGTGAGGTATGTAGTAAGTTCGTCTCCCAGATGGAGTACCAAGATTGACCTTTTCTATGATTTCTTCCTTAAACTGATAGTCAATCACTTCTTTATATTGCGCATAAAAGTTCAAGTTTGATTTAAATTGTTCGATCAGATTTAAAAATCGTCTTTCAGCATTCTTAAAATTGTCCCTTAAAGTCACATTCTGATCTTTCCATGGAAGTCTAACTTCGTATCTATCACCCTTTTGTGTAATCGAGTTGTTAAATATTTGCAAGGCCATTTCATTTTGTTCTTCATCAGAAATATTTTTAATTCCTATAGATTCAATATCCCAAAATGATTCGACACTTTTTAGAAGTTTCCTTTCTACATTTACGTTTAAACACGCATCATGGATTTGAAAGTCTCATGAAAAAAATTTGCTTTGTATACACCACCCAAACAAGGTTTTCATCGCTACGGCATTTCTGTTTATCCTTTTTATTTCTTCGCTCGGTATTTTCCACATACTGTCCGCGCGGATTAAAACGGAAATATGACTCATTCCATCGGCGCCGCCGCAGTCTGTCAATGTGACGCCGAATGCTTGAAGGTTGGATTTGATTTCTACATCTGGTACTCGTATATCGGCATTTGTTATGACTGGTACTTCGATGACTTCGATATTTATGCTTTTTTTTCAGGGTCATTAATATTTCGGAGCGTAATTTTAACTTTCTTTCGACGTCAGTGCTTCCCGTTCTTTTCACTGAAGGCATGCAGATTAAAAACAGTTTCACCTTTCACTGGTAATTGTAATTTTCTTGATAAATCTTCTCGAACTGCAGAGATTTGGCTACCGCCGTCAAGAAGACATCTCAGAACACAATTCTTGTTTCTGCCCTCAGCCACAGCATACACCCGTGTTTCCCAACGTGGGGCCCACGCCTCACAAGGGGGCAATTCGAAAATGGACTGGGGACAAAGGACGTTCTAAATATGTTTCATGAAGTCAAAATTTTTCGAAATTTCATTTTTTATTTCCCAAAATAAAGAAAAATGTAAGTGATGTATACGTAAAAAAGTTTAAAAATTGCGGTGCATCTTAAATATTTTATAAAGAATTCTCGCTAGACATGGACATTTAAATGCTTTTAAAGGCATTTAAATAACTGACACATTATGCTTTCCAGACGTTTCTCGCACATTTTACCCAACGAATTTATTTTATTTTTTACTGTAGGAATGGCAACCGGTATATTATTCTTTCCTTGAATGGCAACAGCAGCTGCTTTCAGCTTTGTTTATATTGATCTTATATTTATTTCTTCCAGCCCTGAGTGAAATGAGGGGTGCAAGCAAGAAAAAAAAATGCTCGTCGGTATTTGGAAGCATATTTAAAATTTGGTTTCATACCCGGTCCATTAAACGGTCAACTTTTGTCTTTTATGCCAATAATGCCTGACCGACGAATCAATGAAACTAGATCGTCTTGAGGCAGATTTGAAGGCGAAACATAATGCTGATATTAATTCAGATTTGATTTATTTTCACACTTTAAGGAAAATTTTTATTAAAGAGTAATATTAAAGTCTCTATTTACTGTTCATAATGCAACTGTTAATCGTGCTCTTGAGGCTATTTATCAAATTTCATTACTCATCGCTTAATTTGGGAAAAGCCGTAATATAGGGGAGAATTGAATCAAACCATCAATATCAGCATTTAAAACTGTTCTAGGAAAAGATGACAAAGACGTTAAAGCTATGCCACTAAATAACAATACTGTTTACAGAAGAAAGATTAAATGAGGATATTGAAATACAACTTGTTGAAAAGCTGAAAACAAGAAAATTTTAAGTGCAAATGGATGAACCAACTTTGAGAGACAGTGAAGCCGTATTTGTAACTTATGTAAGATATATTCATAAAGAGGATTTTGCCGAAGAAATGTTCTTCTGTAAATCATTAGAAAGCATCACTACCTCCAATAGTAAGCTAAAAAATTATTTAGATATAAAAAATATACCAATAAAAAATATAATACATCTTGTACTGCAGATGGTGTTCCTAATATGATGGATGAAAAATAAAATAAAGCACAGAATAAGAAAAAGGGTTGCTTAAAATTGATAAAAGATGAGAATCCAGAAATGCTTCTTGTGCATTGTGTTATTCACAGAGAAAACCTGGTAGCTAAAAACAATTCGCCAGTTCTAAATGAAGTAATAAATTCAGTTATAAAGTGTATCAATGCTATTAAAGCTAGGGCCAAATGGGAACGTCTTTTCAAGTTATTTTATGAAGAACAAAATGAAAACTATATGAGACTTGTACTTCACACTGAAGTAAGAAGGCTGTCGAAAGGGAACTGCTTGGAAAGATTTATGGAACTATTTGATACTCTTAGTTATTTTATAAGCGACAAACCTGAAATGAAAAATCTGTTACAGGATGATAAGAAGGCAATTGTGGGTTTTTAGTCGATATCTTTGAAAAATTAAATATATTAAATAAACAACTTCAAAGAGCAAATAAAACTTGATGTCGATGCAAAAGGAAGATATTTGGTTTCATTATCTTTTGTTAAAATTATGTCAGGCATATACTATTTTACCACTAAAATTTTGAAAAGTCCTCATTGGCTCCAAACATGTGATGTGACTTACCTGCTATACTTGTTATTTATACCGCTTTACTTGTTATTGTCAATCATCTGAAAATTTTAATCGGCCTGATTTAAAATATTTTGTAACTTAAAACAAATTGATTTCCCAACTTGGATGGATGCAGCCAATGTTAGTGGATTTGGATTGTTATTTCAAATATGCAGTAAAAAGAAAGAACTTCGCAGAAATGCAAAATGATGAGTGAATTAAAATTTTATTTAATATAAAAGGAGCGATGACATAGCTTTGTGAGGAAACCAGAATCAGATGTCCAAATGATATCCAATGCAAAATTTGCGAGAGAACTATTGTTACCGTTTCCATCTTCATATTTGCTGATGCGGATTAGTGTCATACATGATTTGCTGCTTTAAAAAAAAAAGAAATCTGTTTGGATATCATGAAAACGGGAGACTTGAGACTCAAGTTATCTAAGTTAGAACCTGACATAAAATTTCTTTGCAGCAAGTATCAAGCGCAAGGAACTCGCTAAATTTAAATAATAAAAATTACTAATACTTAAAATGAAAAACTTTCACTAAAATGAGTTCTTTCTTGAATTTCAGTTGTCCATGT